TGGGTTGGCGGTGGGATGATGGTTGGACTCAGTGAGGTTTTCCACTCTGAATGTTTCTATGAATCAAAAGCTCCCAGTTTGTGGATCTGTATTCTCCCTTCTGCAGAGAGGTTTTGGGATGTGGAAATGAAAGAGTTTGTACCTCGGGCAGTTAATCTGGGACATCCCTTGCTAMAGGATCCCATTTGGGGCAAAAATAWGGCAGGGGTAGGAATTTTGTGTGCCTGGCAAGAGTTTCACAATGGTAAAGAGGAGTTTGAGCCCTGAGAAGGGCTGGCTGAGACCCTTCAGCCTGTTTCAGTCATGATCAYGATGGGATTCCTGTCTCCTGCTCAGGCTCCAGCTGGGTGTGGGTGGACCCCTGGACTCAGCTCTTGGATGGGGCCCCCATTGAAACTCCCCCCACAGGTTGGGTTTTCTTGTTTCATCTCTGCAAGGAGGTGTTTTTTGGGTTTTCAGGCCCTGGGATTGCTATAAACTCTATCAGCATGTCCTTGACCTTTTGTGCCACGGGATCAGAGGATGGCTACGTGAGGCTGTGGCCCCTGGACTTCTCAGCTGCTGTCTTAGAGGCGGGTGAGTAGAGCTGGCAGTGGTGCTCCTGAGCTCCACCTCTCCTGCTGCAGATCCTGAGCTCCACTGCCACAGCTCCCAAGCAATTCTCATGAGTTTAGGGCTTGTTTTATGTGGGCTGTCTCCAGGGCTGACTGGTTTGGAGGTCTTCAGTGGCAATTATTCACAATAATTCTTGTAACTCATACGAGAAAGGAGGGTGGGGAGGCCCAGGGAGAAGCTGTGCCTGTCCCTGGATCCCTGGMAGTGTCCAAGGCCAGGYTGGACTGGGCATAGAGCAACCTGGGAYAGTGGGAGTTGTCTCCTAGGAGAAAAGCAAGATTTCCTGGGACAGAACAGACTTTCCATCTTGATTTCTGTGCCCTTGTAGCCATAGCTCATCTGTCCATGAAAAATTAGAGAAGTCAAGCAGTTCTTGACTTTTTTGAAACAATCATCAGAGTCCATGGACTTCAGGAAGGGCAGAGATCAGTCACTAATCTGTTGGTAAACTCACACCTGCAGTGTTGAGTCTCCAGGTCATGGGCTGCTCATTCCTGTGGGCACTGCTTTCCTAAACAYAAATCCGTAGCTGCATTCCAGCTGCCCCTTTCCCAGAGGATTTTTGGGTTCCTGTGTCTTTCCCCAGAGCATGAGGCTTCAGTGACTTCGGTGTGCATCAGCCCTGACAGCCGCAAGGTCCTGTCCACGACAGCCACAGGCAACCTGGGCTACCTGGACATCCAGGCCCGGGACTACAACACCCTGATGCGCTCGCACAAGGGCTCKGTGCTGGGCTTCTCTCTGGAGGGCAGGTGGAGGCAGATAGCCACCGTGTCCCAGGATGGCACCATCCGCGTGTGGGACCTCGCCTCCATGCAGCAGGTGGGTGAGGCAGGAGCCAGCAGCTCTCTCACATTCTTTWATGTCTCTCTGGGCCGAATAATGCCTATGATTTTTGCCTTTCCTTTTTATGTATGCTTTTATATATTTTTATATCCTTCTAGACATTTTCTGTACCCTTTATGTATTCCTTGTACCCTTAGCCTACATGCTTGTAATTCTTGTAGCCTGATATTCCAGCTTAGTTTAAAGTTCTGTTAGGCAGAAAGACCAAACATCCTTAATGAGGGCTCAGCATGCCCTGTGCTATCTCAAATTTGAAGCTCCAGCCTTGGTCAAAGCCTTTTCTCTAAAACATATTGTGTAAACTGGGCTCTGGTCTCATCCCAGGGGGAGATTCTTTAAAATAAACAGTCATTACTTCATTTGTTAAGTCTCTTATTAGAAAATTCTAAATAAATATACTAATTTATAACATCTGTAAAAYTTGTATACATGCTACATGCAGTGTGCATTTCCTGTCAAATTGTGCACCTAGAATCCCATTAAATACCGAGGTAAAGCCCTTTTATCCCCTTAACTGTGTCTGTATCATAATTAAAACTGGCCAATCAAGGCCACACAATTATCCAAGCCCCACAGTTCAGGAGCCCTCCCTGAAGCATKAGGGGATACCATGGGCCAGAGACCCTTCTGAGGTGTTGTTAGACAAAACTATTTTCTTTTCCCCCACCTTTTGAATACTGCTGTTTAGCACAAACCACAAGACCCAAGGGCTTTATCTAAATGCCAAAGACCCAAGACTTCACTGGGTTTGGATCCCGGAGGTGTGGGGTGGGTCAGTGGTTGGGTCCAGCTGCAGCTCCCGTTCTTTCTGGTGTCTGTTCCCTGCAGCTCTACGACTTCTCAGCTGCAGGAGAAACTCCCTGCACCGTGGCCTTCCACCCCTGCTGGAAGATGCTGGCCTGTGGCTTCGACAGCGGCGTGGTGCGCACCTTCAGCCTGGCTGCCTCYGACCTGCTGCTGGAGCACAGGTCAGGGGAGTGGGAGCCACCCTGGSTGTCCCTGGCTGTCCTGGGGATGGGCACGGAGCTTGGCAAGCCCCAGCTCCCAGCTGGGGGGGTTTCAGGCAGATCCTGCTGTGCTCTGAGCCCAAGCCATGAAAGCCATGGGGGCTTTCTTTGGGATTTCCCAGTGGACAGCAGTAGGAAAGGGCTTGTCCTGCAGAGCAGCAGGGCAGGGAGCCCTTGTGAGCCTCAGTGATTTGGATTTGACCCTCAGGGATTTGGAGGATGCCCCAAAGGCAGAGGGAGCAGACTGGAGGGCTGTGCTTGTTGCTGGGTTTCCTGACAAATGGGAGCRTTGGTTCTGGGCTGCTGCAGGATGAGTGGGACCCTGCTCTGTTCCTGGGTAATTTATTCTGGGTTCTTCATGTTACACTCAATCTCACTGCTGTTCCCTCTGTGTTTGCCTTTCCCCTCCCCTTTTCTGCATTTTCTGTCCTCATTCAGGCAGCACCGCACAGCGATCACCGGCCTGACCTTCTCTCCCAATGGCAGTTTTATGTTCAGCTCCTGCTTGCAGGGAACTCTGGCTCTCTACAGCTTTGTGGCACRGAAAACCCAGGTCCTGAGAGTTCTGGGTAAGGCTCTGGGGTGACGCTGCGTTTCTTTGTTTTTATTAGCACAGACATCCTGACACCAGAGCCAAACCTCAGCCTGCTCAGAGAGATATTTCCCAATGAACATTCTGACCTTGGTTATTTCCCCCTGCACTGGGCACTGCTGAGGCCCCTCCAGTCTTGGGGTCAGTTCTGGGCACCTCATGACAAGAAGGACATTGAGGGACTGGAGCAGCTCCAGGGCAGGGAACGGAGCTGAGGAAGGGTCTGGAGCCCCAGGAGCAGCTGAGGGAGCTGGGAAAGGGGCTCAGCCTGGAGCAAAGGAGGCTCHGGGGGGACCTTGTGGCTCTGCACAACTCCCTGACAGGAGGGGACAGCCGGGGGGGTCGGGCTCTGCTCCAGGGAACAGGGACAGGAGGAGAGGGAACAGCCTCAAGTTGTGCCAGGGGAGGTTTAGGTTGGATATTGGGAAAATTCCTTAATGGAAAGGGTGGTCAGACACTGGCACAGCTGCCCAGGGCAGTGGTGGAGTCCCCATCCCTGGAGGGATTCAGAAGATAAGTTCATGTGGCAGTTGGGGACATGTTTTAGTGGACTTGATCTCGGAGGGCTTTTCCCACCTTAATGATTCTGTGATTTCTGTTTGTACCTCCTGTATGAGCAAACCCCAGTGACCTCCAGCATTTCCCTCCCTGTCCTGGTTCCAACACTCTCATCCTGCCAGTGTGAGGATTTCRTGAAGGTCCTACAATCACAGAGATTTATTCATGCCCAAGCCCTGACTCTTTCCATTCTGTGCATGTGCAATTTAATTTGTTTAAAGTGGATTGTTGCCCTGATCCTGCCTGCAGCAGAGCTGCTCCATGCTGGTGAATGGAGCTGGTGGAGAGCTGGAGGCAGGRCAGAGGTAAGGCAGTTTGGAAAAATTAGTGTCACATTTAATGGACACTTTGGAAATGAGTTGTGACAGCAAAAGCCTGGGCAGGAAAGGGAGCTCTGATTTTTGTATAGTGCAATGTTGCACMAAGAGAAGGAACCTGCCCTGGGAAGTGTGCAGGAGAAGGAACAGGGGCTTGCAAAGATCAGGGAATTTGTCCAAAGTCACCCAAATTTGGTGTCAGTGCTGCAGCTGGACCTTCACATGGTGACTCTGCTCTGAAACTGTGTTTGCTGCCTGGTCACGTTCCAGGGACAGAGCAGTGGAATTATGGTTGTGGAATAAATAYAGAGAATTGCTGTAATTTCTGTGATTTTTAGATCTCTGGGTCTCTCTGCCCTCTGCACTGACATCAGTCTGGTGGTGCTCAGCACTGACCCCATTCTGCTAAGGGTTCAGACACCACATCTCACAGAGYTTCTCCTCACAGCCTCTTGTAACGTTAAAAAAAATCAGCTCTAAAACCAATTTTATTCCTTTGACTTTGTTGTGCTCTCCTTGAAATCGCTGTGTGTTCACTCAGGCACCAAGCTGAGCATTTCAACCTTGTTTTTGAGGTGGTTCGTTGCATGCCCTGGGTGTGCAGGTAATATCTGTGACATCTCCACAACACAGGTAGCTTTATTCTCAAGCTCAGAGGCAGGAGAAGCTGCAGCTGCTGCTCAGCAGCACCATCAGGGTGTGCTTTGCTCCTCCTCACTCCCTGTGTGTCCCCCAGGCAACGTGGTGGCCCGGGATGCCGGGAGCAGCGTGGACACTCTGGTGGTCAGCGGGGACAGTCGCCTGCTGGCCTTCGTGGGGCCCTGCAAGTATGTGGTGACAGTGATGGAGGCCTGCTCGCTTGATGAGGTACCCACCCACCAGGCTCCCCTCGCTCCCAGGGATGGGGTGTCCCCTGCAAACTCCACAGGCAGCACCCAGGGAGGGGATCAGGGTGATCCAGCTCACAGTGTGCTGCCTGTCCTCCCTTCTGTGGGACAGAAATAACTCAAAGTTTCTCCTCCTCTGTCTTCATTCCCCTCTGGAGGGATAATTTGGAGAGATGATGGGGAGACTCTCAGTTCCCACCTCGCTGTGTGAGCTGCTCTCCTGGGCATTGTCTGAAYTTACAGCCCCTCATTAAGGGGGAAGGGAAGGATCTGGGGGGCTCCGTAGCCTCGTGTTGGGAGCACAGAGCAATCCTCAGGCTGCTGCATCATTTGTGCAGTGGCAGAGATCTGAATCTCCTTGTTCCACAGCTGCTGAGGGTGGACATCAGCCTCCTGGATGTGCACAGCACCATCTTGGACTCTGCTGTGAAGGTCTACTTTGGTCCTGTGCCTCAAGGCGAGCTCCTGGTGTCCACCTCTTCCAATAAAATCCTTGTGCTCGATGCAAAAACCGGGCGGCTGCTGCGAGAGGTAGGACTCTGAAATTCATCCACTGAGGTCTCCTGTAGGGGCTGGGCACTGCATGTCTCTGTGGGAGGTTAAATGAGAGAAAAACTCCTCCTGGAGCTCCCAGGCTTCAAAGGAACGCAAGTGGGAAGCCCGCAGCTATCCCAGTGTGGTCGTGCTCAGGGGCTGAGCCTGAGCTTGTTCTTGTTTTCCACGCTGTCACACTGCTGTTCTCTTGCTGAAGTGTAAACACAGACATGAACCRGCTCAGCTAAGGCTGCTGGTGCCATTTGTTGTCCTCAGGTGTCCCCTGTGCACAAGCTGACCTGCTCCTCCTTGGCTCTGAGCAAGGATGGCCAGTACCTGCTCACTGCTGGCGACAAGGTCATCAAAGTGTGGGACTATCGGATGCGCTTCAACATCAACTTCCAGGTGCTGCCCACACAGGGAGGGCASGGGGTGCTGTGGCATTTCTGAATCCCTGGAGAAGAGGGCAACAAATGGGCTCTGTATGACTTGGCCCAGTGTGCCCAGTCCAGTTTGCCCAGCAGGGAAATGCAGCCCTGTTCCCATGTTGTAACAATGCGTGGCACTGGGCACAGATTGGGTGCCAGAGCACCCCAGTGGCACCCTCAGTGAAGGACAGAGGAAGGTGACAGCTCTGTGTTAGGGAYAGGGCCACACTGAGATGAAAATGGTTCAGCCAGGGCTTTAAAGGCAGGATAAGACTTTGGACTCTTCAGCCTTTGTTTCCTTCCCTGATGAGTATGTTGGAGGTTATCCCTGGGTTGATCAACTCATAGGTGTGAGTACTGTGAGTGAAAGATCCTGTTCTGGACCTTCTGCTGAGGCTGTAAATCCTGGCAGGGCAGGACAGGGAGAGGAGAAACCTTATCCTGACAGGGCAGGGAGAGGAGAAACCCCATCCTGATGGGACAGAGAGAGGAGAAACCCCATCCTGACAGGGCAGAGAGAGGAGAAACCCCATCCTGACGGGACAGAGAGAGGAGAAACCCCATCCTGATGGGACAGGGAGAGGAGAAACCTTATCCTGACGGGACAGGGAGAGGAGAAACCCCATCCTGACGGGACAGAGAGAGGAGAAACCCCATCCTGACGGGACAGAGAGAGGAGAAACCCCATCCTGACGGGACAGAGAGAGGAGAAACCCCATCCTGATGGGACAGAGAGAGGAGAAACCTTATCCTGATGGGACAGGGAGAGGAGAAACCCCATCCTGACGGGACAGGTGGTGATGGGGGTTCCAGCTGTGCTCTCTCCCAGGTGTTCATCGGGCACTCGGAGCCTGTGCGTCAGGTCGCCTTCACCCCAGACCAGCAGCACGTCATCAGCGTTGGGGATGCCATCTTCCTCTGGGATTTCCTAGCTCCACCTACAGTCGTCAGGTCATCCCCAACCAGGTACCAGTGTTGGACAGTGCGTGTCCCGTGTCCCCTTTGCCTGCCCCATCCCTGTGTGACTCCAGTCATCTCACCTTCCCAGGGTTCATTCCCCCGCGTCCACTGTGCCACTGCAATCAGGTGAGTTTGCCTCTGCCCAYGACTTGTGCTGGCAGCTCTTCCACTGGGTGGGGGTTGTGGGGCATGGTTCCTTTCCTGAGGGAGTCATGTTGTGGGGGCAAACCAGCTAATCAGCCCTGAAGGACAATCTCAAATTAATTGGCGCCTCTCAGTCTGCCTAGGTGGGGATGTTCTGAGCAGAGCCACTCTGGGCTTTCTGGTAGGTTTTCAGCTTTTGCCTTCTGTCTTTCCCTGCCTCCATCTCCTCTGTCTTCTTTCTCCCTCATTGTGTYACTCTCTCTGTCCCTCTCTTTCTTYAAAGACAGAAAAGTGGCTTCTATGGAAGCTGGAAAACTGAGCWTGGAGGTATGACCAGGAGGATGAGAGGAGCTGAGGCCTGAAGGAAGTGWCACAAAGCCTTTTCCTTTTGCAGACAGCAGCTTTGAGAAGACAAAGGATGTCTCTGAGACCCCCCGGCAGACGGTGCCTCTTCCCCTGCTGTCCTCCCCACCGTGTTTGGATATCAGCTCTGTCCACAAAGCAGCATTTCAAAGTAAGAGGAACTGCTTGCAGGAAAGGGGAAAATGAACCTTGTTGTAGGGAAAACTTGCCTAGCTTAGCAGCATCCTTGGAGYCATCCCGACCTGTGATCCTTTCTGGCAGACTGACAGAGCAGTTCCTKCCCCTGAGCTGGGCAAAGCCCAGAGGTGCTGGGGCTCAGCACACTTTTATCCTCTGCTTTCTGTACACTGAGCTGCTGCACAGCTTTTCTGTGCTCAACACCTTGTTGGTCATTCCCAATAGGATTTTTCTGCTTTGCCCTCTGCCCTAACAGGGTAATGACATTGCCAGAAGTCAGGGGGTCAGGCACACATGAAGTGGTCCTGAGGGATGTGGATGGCTCCATCTTCCCACTGATTTTTCTTTCCAGGTATTCTCTCTGAATCGGACAAGGAGGAGGAGGAGGAAGGTCTGCCAGGCAGCAGCAGGGAGACAGGAGATGGGCACAAAGAGGTCTCAATCCTTGTGGTGGAATCAGACAGGGATGAGGAGCCTGTTGTGAGGCAGGAGAACCCGAGGTCTCCTGGAAAACCAACAGATGGTAAATCAGGGGTGTCGCCAGCTTGTACAGAGCTTCAGGCCTGCATGGCAGCTTGGTCTATCCTCAAAACTAAAGAAAGATCATTATTATTATTGTTATTACTATTAATAATATTAATAKTAATATTAACAAAATATTAATAATATATTAATAATAATAATAAAAATAAGAAGAAGTCCCAGACACATGCTCTGAGCTGTGAGGTGAAAGGCAGCAACATGCTCCTCAGGAGTTTTCCCTTGGACATGACCTCCCAMGGGAAGTCAGTACTGAGGGAAGCTCACATTGATCCCCAAAACYGCTCCTTTTTCTGGTTCTTTCCCTGCTGCTGCCTCTGGGCACACCAGCAGCCTCTCTTCAGCCTGGAGCCAGTATCAGCTGTGAGTGGCACGTCCCATTAAATCCAGCTGCAATTAAAGCTCCCAATGCCTCTATTAATAGCTGCACAGCCTCGGAGCTGCAGTGGTGCGTGGCGACCTGCCAGGAGCAGGCAGCTGCCAGCGCTCAGCCCCGGCAGGACTTGTTGGAAAGCTGCAGGGTAAAACTGCCTCCCATGCTCCTTCCTGSTACAGATCTGGAACTGGGGGCTTGTGGTTCCACAGGGGTACCCAGAGAATGAGCAGTGGTTGGGAAAGGACCTGATCCAGGGAACCACTGGAGCTGTGTCWGCAGGRTTTAGGYTGGAGATCAGGGAAAGGTTCTTCTGTCCCCAGAGGGTGCTGGCACTGCCCAGGCTCCCCAGGGAATGGTCCCGGCCCCGAGGCTGCCACAGCTCCAGGAGCGTTTGGRCAGCRCTGCCAGGGATGCACAGGGTGGGATTRTTGRGGKGTCTGTGCAGGGACAGGGGCTGGATCCRTGATCCCTGTGGGTCYMTTCCCACTTGGGGTATTYCAKGTGTGACACCRCAGTCTGATTTTTGCCTCTTGTGTGCTCGCACATGCACAGCACTTGAAAGGTCCACAAGCCACAGCCTGGGTGCTGCTCCCAAACCATTCCCTGGAGCAGCATCCCATGGGTGCTGTTTTCTTCTTTGTGTGGCAGAATCCTGGAAGGGGACCAAACCTCCCCGGGTGCAGTGTTCCATCCGCCCGGATTCCTACCGGCACTTCACTCCTCGCTTCAAGGCATCAGCTCTCCCCCAGGTGAGGGTTGGGCTGGTTACCTGGGCAGGTGCAGAGCAGGCATTTCGGAGCTGGGGTAGGTGGATTTTCCAAATTGTTTCCAATTGGTTCTCTGCTTGAAAGCAATTTGGGAAATATTCCCTGGACTGATGCTCAGTGAGAAATCCCAACATTAATTCCCTATTCTCCTCTACGTGCAGCTCTTCCCAGACTAGTAAAAAGTGAGTTGTGCTCAGCTCATTTGTGTTGCCCAAATCTGCATACATTTTTATTCCAAAGGAGTGGAAATGGCATGTGCTATTGAGAGTGGAAGACGAGTGAGCAATGGAGTGATTCATTGTGCTCCCTTATTTGCGAGCAGCTGCGTTGGCAGAGCAGGCTGGGGAAGGCAAATCCGTGGAGCGTACTGAGGAGAGGCACGGCACAGCTCCTGCTCTGTTAACAAACACAGCAGGAATGAAACAGAAACTTAACTCAGCCTTTCCCTGAGCTCTGCTGCTGGTGCTGGGAGAGCAGCTACATCCAGCTTGCACCCCCAGTTCTGTCCCCACACCTGGCAGCATTTATCCCCCAGCTCTCTTCCTATTGAAATATCTACATCCCCAAGTCAGCCAAACCCATGGAACTCGTTCCCAGTGGGATTAGCAGCTGCTCCTCGRCTGGGCACTCGCTGCCAGGCTGTTTTGTACCCCATCTGAAAGCATCTGTGCTGGGGCAGTGCCTCTTTTGTTATGGAATATTACCTGTCTCTTCCATTATGGAACTGTGGGAGTACTGGCATGGATCTGTGTGGGATGTGTGTTTGAGGAYACTCTCACTTTTTCCTCTGTGGGTGTTGATGCACCTGACCAGACCATTCTTCCAGAGTTTATTTTAAGCCTGTGTCTGTTTTTCTCGCAGAGTTTCTCATCTCCTCCAGTGGGCAGTGAGGTCCTGAAGCTGAAAGCGGTGATCGGTTACAATGGGAATGGCAGAGGGAATATGGTGTGGAACCCAGATACAGGTGCACTGGGAATGCTCTGGAGTGGTGGGATGTGGYTGCTCCTGGATCCCTGGCARTGTCCAAGGCCAGGCTGGACAGGGCTTGGAGCASYCTGG